TCCACATGGAATCGGCTCAAGAAACGTGTCCGTCCACACGAAACCACTCGAAACCACTGGAGACGCGGTAGTACATATGCCGGGCCTGTAAGTGGCGCTGTACTTCCGCCACAAAATACACCAAAAGCAGTGAATAAGACCCCCAGAGCATGGGCATAAGGCATAAACAAACAAGGTAGAAAAAGGTAAAAATCTGTATCATGGTCAGTAGCGTCTGGAGCACGAGCGCAACCCTGTGATCCGCCATTGTTGTTGTTGTTGTTGGCGAAACGCATCAGCAATGACGCGGTGGTGAGCAGGAGAGGCGGGGCTATGATCGTATATAGGACACGGAGCTGCAAGCGTTTCGTCTCCAGACTTACCCACTTTGGGATCCGTTTTCAAAGTGTATCGGTTTCGGGCTCCGAAGCCGCGGCTCCGTTTCGAATTTGTGTGGACGAACCTTCTATACGATAAAGAACTTTAGCGGATACAACTGAAATCGAGCACAGCTGAGTTTCTGTCCTGACATTCGAGACTGATTTTTCGTATTCTGAATTAAATCTCATAAAATTGAAATACTTTGGATTTGGTTACAAGCTGTTGGAAAGAACTAGATGTTTCTGTGAAAGGTCTATCTATAGGGCTTAATATTTAATAAGGAACACAAACAGAATCGGCTTGACATTCAGTAAGTTCAGAACAAGTGAGGACCATGTAGCCGACAAGGTCAAGTTGACTCCTGTTGGATGTTGATTAGGTGTTAAAATTAATTATTTATTAAATCGATTGACAATTGCTTCGGTTATTTACTTTTTCAAACAAAAATGCAAAACAAGGCATTGTGAGGATTTGCTGCTTTTCCTTCTTTTATATCATTTTTAATTGAAAATCTTTGTGTTTTTGACAATTAGTTTTACAAAATAAAGCAATTAAAGAAATCACACTGAGCTGTAGAAAATTGCTGCGAAGGGTCCTGTTTCTTGATTTATCAAACAAGTACTTAATCAACAATGGATGGATAAATCAGTTACTAAAATAATTGCAAATTGTCTAAACAACCTTTTTTCCCAGTAACTATTACGATCCACAACTGTAAGTGGTCATTTTCAAGAAATAGATGGAGCCAAAGCAACCATATTGTTTTGTTGATGGTTTCCTATTGTCATGTGGCGCAGTGATGCTTACTGCTCTCACCTGCTGTGCAGCTTTATGCCGCGCCGGGCTGAATTGCTTTCTGTTATGCTGTCCAAGCCTTCTTGAAACAGTGACATTTGATGCAATAAAATAACTTATTTTAGCAGCCACCGTATTTCTCTCTTCTTTCTCAAATAAATACCCATTTTGTCCTTTTTCCCTTGAGATAGCTCCCTCAATTTGCTGTCACTGCTGTCCTGTATTAATCACCTCTCTCTTTTATCTCTCACTCTTTCTTCCTCTCTTCTCTTTATCCAGCATCTTCTGGGTCGTTGTGATGTGAAAGAAATGTGATATGGATTTGATTGCAAGGGGAACATCTAACTCGAAGGCAACATTTTTCTCTCAGGCTGCACAGGAGATCGTTCATTATTTGCTGGCAGAGCCATCCCCCAAATGTGTCCATAGCTCTACACTTAAGTGTCTGTATCCTAGAACTTAACACAACATATTGACTGAGGGAGCTTGTTGGGGACACTACGCAGGGAGGGTGTAAGTGCTGCTCAAAACTCTCCAGCCAGGGCAAACTTACTCTAAAGTCTAAAGCATCTATTCCTCCTGGGAAAGTCCAAGCAAGTGCTCACACATGAAACCACCTGAAGGCTGAAAAGGACTGGGTTGATGGTAAACGAAATCCCTGTCAGTCTATCCAGGTATTTACATGGAAATGCAATAATTCATGCAAACACAACCAATCCTCCTGTTATTATAGCATTCAATTTTGCTCTTGTCCCTGCAATACATATGCCTCAGATTAATTTATTGGACTAATACTTACACAAGTTCCTTCAAAAGAAGGGGTTCAATACACATGTTTTAAACAGTCCAAAAATGAAACCTTTAAAATAGACTAAGTGTATTATTTATTTGTTTTGCCAAGCGTTTTTATCAAGGCTTTTTTGCCTGAGACGTTGTACCATAAATTATAGATTCTGCTCATGCCATTAGCACCAACCTTATCCAAAAACATGTTTTTCATCCTTTTCAGGCGATCACTGTTTCATACCCCTGCTGTTGTTGTTGTTGTTGTTGTTGTTGTTGTTGTTGTTGTTGTTGTCAAAGTCATGTTATCCCTTTGTTGTAAGTGCAGATTGATTTAGAAAACCAGCAGACAGACGCAGTGATGAATTTCCAAAATCAAGCTAATTTCTAGTCTGTGATTTTCATAATGGGCTCAAAAAAGCGGAAAGCACATCATGCCTGAAAGATGGAAAAGACAATCAAAACTCTGTGGGATGCTTTGGAAATGTTTTTCAATGGCCTCGCTTAAATATGCTGTATCACTTTTAGGGTGCTTAAGGACTAAAAGCGTCTGAAACAGAACAGTTCAAGCTAATGTTACTGTCACTGGAACAAAAGATGCACACTGCACCACAATTGAAACAAACAAACACTGCTAATGTTATCATTATGTCGGCTACCTAAACCCTCTGCGGTGGAAAGGCCTTCAGTGTTTCCTGCTTGGTTTGACTGTATTCAAATAATAACAGCAAACCATTTCTCTAAATGAATTATTGCTCATAATGGCTCGTAATTGTTTCAAGGAGTTTTCTTATTAGACAAATGACTCCAATAATCTTTCACGGATAGCAATAATGTAATTATATTTTTAGTCACATTTGCAGTTAAAGGATGGAGGTGGCATTCTGTCCACATTAGCACGTTAATCATCTTAATTCTACTGTAATTGTTCATGCTAAGACTTAGGAGACCATGAGATGGAAATTGAAATTACACACTGGTTATGGCTATCATCCTACAGGGTTCCAAAGATCAATTTCAATATGTTGATTGGAAGCTGAACCCCCATGCGTTTCAATGGGAGGCCGTCACTTCTGATATCCTGTGGCGACTACATTTCTTATTGCTTAACTATGTAGAGACATGCATTAAACCATCCACCCTCTGAGACTCTGCCTGTGACCCCGTTAGACTGTAAACACACTTCAGCCAATGTAGACAGTTACGTCATTTGTTCCATGCTGAGTTTTTATTATTAGCCAGCCACCTCTCCCGCAAAGCGCTGCCGTACATTTGCCAATGGGCTGGTAGCAGGCGAAAGAATATACAAAATAAAAAAAGACAAGACACTCTGTCGTCTGTAAGGAAGGGGGATATTTTTTTTCCCAGAAGAGTTGGCTCAACTCCCTGTGGGAACCTGTTGCCATAGCAACGGGAGCTGGGGGTTTACGTCAGGTAGGCTGGTCAGTGGTAGAAGATCATGGGACTAGAAAGGGGTCAGAAGGAGAGTGCAACCTCGCTGACACCGTCATCAACCTCAGCTTCCTCCACACTCCAACTCACGCCTCCTTGCCCTCAAATAAAGGTCCGAGGGATCACTCCCCCCCACCTGCCCTTCATGCCTGCATTCATACACGCAAAAAATCAACTAGCTCACAGAGTGTGGGATTGTATACAGGTCAAATGGCTATTATACTGAATTATTGTAGTACGTTATGCTCTTCGCTTGGACACATGCCGGTTTTCATTTATTTCAATTTGTACGCCTTCAACCACCAGACCTTATCTTATTTCCCTTTTTTATATATTTATTACCCTGTCTTAAGACACATTTCCAGCTTTTTCCCATTTCCTGCCTTACATAAACACACATTTTTTCTTCCTGACACACTTGCTTCCAACACACTAGGTCTCAAATGTGCGTAGACCACCATCTGTCCAGTACTTTCTCAGTCTCCTCTTCTAATTCTATTAGACTGACTTATCAAATTGCCAGTCTAACAAACCACATATTCTTCCAGTGTGCATCCTTCATAGCAGGAGCTTTGGCTCATGAAAGAGTAAGAGCTTGAAATTCAGATCTCAGGGGGAGTTTCCAAAACACTAGGGATGCACAAAGAATATCGGCAAATATTGAGAAATGTAAAGGATGAGATATTATTCCTGGAAAGTCATAGACCAATGATACAAACGTGCTTTTCATTGACTTAACTAGCACAACATCGACACTCTCTATTACAGCAGGTGGTGGTATGGACCTTTTTAAGTTTGCTAGCTTTCCGCTAATAAAAACGGAGTAGAAGAAGAACAAGATTGAAACAAGTTGTCGCTGGGGCGTGGACGTTAATCAAAATGTTTAGAGTTGGACCACAGAATATAGATTTGTGTACTTAACTAAAATAAACAAATTAACATTTTAAGAGTAGGAACTGTTTTTTAGTGTTGCTGTCAAGAGCTATGGATGATTATTTCACCCATCTTTGATCACAAGGTCTCAGTACTCTTTCTTTACCTCAGGTGTAAACAAACCACAGGGTATACACTTCTTTTTTTAAATATGAATCCGTTATCTTAATGGTATTTGTCATGAGAAGCAGGTCATTTTGGGTTATCAATATAGGCTGAAAGAAATCCATATGATGCATGCCTAGAAAACACAGAGAGGCTAGTGTTGGTGTTTCATCACGAGGAACAATGCTATCTGTGCTAAAGTGCGACTGTGTCATCCTTCTCTCTGAGTCAACGTACGACTGATCTTACTGGCAAAAATACCCCTTATCGTCCATACCAGGGGAACAGTTTTCACGTGTGTGTGTGTGTGTGTGTGTGTGTGTGTGTGTGTGTGTGTGTGTGTGTGTGTGTGTGTGTGTGTGTGTGTGTGTGTGTGTGTGTGTGTGTGTGTGTGTGTGTGTGTGTGTGTGTGTGTGTTGTGTGTGTGTGTGTGTGTGTGTGTGTGTGTGTGTGTGTGTGTGTGTGTGTGTGTGTGTGTGTGTGAGTGAGAACAGGTGGCATTATCTGTCCCCTGGGCAACATGTGAACATTTAACACTGATGGGATCACTGTGGATTTTTTTCCAGACTCACTTTTGACCGTGGCCGTCCTGGTGCAGTTGTAGAGAATAGCCAGCTCTCCAAACACTTTCCCCGGTCCCATGGTGCACAGCTTCATGCTCTCCTTCGTCACCTCCACCTTCCCATCTGAAACATGCAAAGAAATAAAGGTACACCATTAAGCATAATTGTATTCAAATTGCACCATTCATTTGCCCGCCTGATTACCCAAGTGTGTGTGTCCTCTGCTACATTCATTAAGTGTGGCAAACAAAGTTTCAGTGTTAAAATGGATTGGATGATAGGTGTCTGAAGGCTTATGCCCCTTGACTCACTGGGCTGGAAACAAATAAGATTGTTTTTCAATGTGGAGTTTCCAAGGGTTACTAGCCTCCTTCCAACCATGTGCGGGGCCCTGTTAAAGAAAAGCAGCAATGTGAAATATAAAGCTTAAACTCCCCAACTCACAGACACCATAATGGTACCTTAAGATAAGGGCTGGTAGCTTCAAACATTCTAAAAAAAGTGTTTTCAAATATTATTCCATTGGTAAGGATTAAAATAGTCCCCACTAAGATATGTTTTCAAAGTAGACATACAGTACATGTGCCTTAAAAAACATTACCTAGCATTTCTGGCTTATAAAGACCAAACATCTTTCAAGAATAATTAACTTATTTTGATTTCTAACATATTCCAATAACAACAGTAGGTATTAGCACTGCCACAAGTGAGCACTGTGGCGAAAGCATAGCAGAGAAAAGGAAATGAAATCCTCTTCAACCCACTTATCGTTGCTCTGCTTGTCAATGTTGGATAAATGCAAATGATTGTATGTGTGTTTCACAGATGTAGAAGCTTGTTAGCACTATGACCAGGGTCAAATTGATTTGCATGTCCTAATATCTTCCAGATTTTTCACATTGTGGTTTGCTTAACAAGCTTCTTATACTTTTGTTACATCACATTATGCTCCTGATCCATACAAGCATTAAAGAAACACACACATAGGTGTCTGTACAACACCTTTGTGCATTACTTATGTACATCCCATAGAAGCAAAATTCCAGTTGAAACATATGAAGCTCTTAGGGATTGGCTGTTTTGTTTAAGAAAGCCTTAAGAATGTGTACTTTCTTCAAAAATCAGCATTCCAGCACAAACATACCTATGATTCACAGAGAGCCAAAAGCCAAAGGAAACAGATGACGTCAGATCCAGGGTACTGATGAAATACGGCCAGATGATAACAGCATGCAAGCGATGCTCAGAGGAAACTGTTTGACAAGTTATCTTATTAGAGAGGGGCCGTGAACTCTTTGACAAAATAGCCTCCAAAACACATAAGAACTAATTATTTTCTACACTTGGAACTCCAGCACCTTTTCCGCCTTGTTTGACGATACATCATCCATTAACACCGAGCTTGAAGCTTACACGTAGAGAATATATTCAGCTCTTACAGCGCTTCCCCATCTAACTTCTACCTCAGTGCAGTTTTCCCTGCATATGTTTGACAGCCTTTTTACCCGTCTGGGCTTCCTGCAGAGCTCCCTATCTATTCAGTGGAATGGAAAAACTTATCGAGATAAATAAATAACTTGTCTCTCCTTTCAGGAGTTAAATAATGCATTGCTTGTGCATCTTTATTTTCAGCTTTTTTCTCTCACACAAGCTCTCTTGATTGATTTAAAGCAAACACAATAAATGTCTTATATACCTCTCACCCAAATGCTTGTTTCACTTTAGTAATCATGGCAAATAATCAGCAGACAACTCATTTCAGGAACTTGTTGAGTCTAAATCTGCTCAAACAGCATCAGTAACTATGCTAAATTCAGTTCTCAATTGCAGTTTCATATATTTCTCATTCTATTATCTATTTCACCCTAACAAGCTCCTATTTCTCGCTCTCTTGAGCATAAAATACAACTTCCTCTACATTTCAGGACTTGTCAGGAAAGAGCAAACCCCTGTTGCTTTTTAATAAGAACAACTGTAAAATGTTCTGTGAACTGAGTAAAGCTGAATTATTTTGAAGTGTCAATCTAGCCTTACAATTCTACGTCTACAAAGACTTTAATTATTGAACTTATTATGCTGCAAGCATTACATCTGGAGAAAGGCCATTGAGAATTGATTGCGTCTAACCAATAAGCCGGACTAAATGGCGCACAGTGGGGGGGGTGGGGGTTGTGATGATGGTGTGGCTCATCATCTCTCAAAGCCAAATAGCCCTTATCAGAAACTATTAAACCTAGGTGTAATAGAGAATGGATGATGAATAGCTTAAAAACAACCCAGTGTGTATAGAGTTCATGTTGATCTCTGAATAGTAAAGACTGCCTAGCACTAATTGAAAACAATATTTGAAGCGCATATTGAGCAAAATGAGCAAAGCAAACATCGTTGGGAAAGAGTAGCAACATGAACTTTAAAGAAAAAGAAACAAAAAAAGTGGCCGCAGTGACAAACAGATGTAATATATTTCTGTATCAATACAGATAATATCTGCACTATTCATGAGGACAAGGCAACCATCTTCATTTACTGCAATGAAAGGCCTTCTGATATGTAATAACAGCACTGTGTGGTGATGGTGAATGGGTTCATGTAAGGACAAAGAAAACCACACATCAGCTAGCAAAAACTTTACCCCCAACTATGGACGAAGCTAATTTCCTGTGGTTGTCTAGGTAATTAATCCCTGACAGAGGTGAGCAGTTGGAGCCCAGCTGCTGTTTGGGATGACTTGGGCTATGAGGGAATTGTTAGGAAATTAACTAAGCACATTTTTATTTATTGGATTCCAACCAATGGTCTTTTTTATAAAACTGTCATCCAGAAGTTCTTATGAACTGACGACAACACATTGTCCAGCTCATTTCCTGTTTTAGTTTTTTGTCTTGGCTTTAATACTTATTACAGTAGCTCCGCGTTCTCTGGTAATTCACCTCTGCTTACATATGCACGCAAAATTCAAATGTTATTCAAAACACTACAGGTAAATTAGCAAACACATCAATGAGGAACTGCTAATAAATTCAAAATAGATGCAATACGGCGTGTATAATGTTAACTGCCATTAGGGCTTTATCCTGTCAGTATCTCGTAGCAGGTTTGTGCCCCTGAGGCAGTGTAGATGTGTTAATGGCTTATCATTTGAATGCACACAGCCATTCGCTCTTCATTACAGGGCACTGGGACAGACCTCGAAGCAGACTTCCCTCTGGCTCAAGATCAGATATGATTCTGGCTGCATTTCAAATCAATAGGCCGCGTACTTTTGGGTTGCCGTTATCTCACACTCGGGCTGAAGACATATAAAAGAGATTAAAAAACGACACGAATGTGTCCCTACTAACCCTTAAACAGGGGTGATTTTATATAATCCTCTGTGATGTGGAAGATATCTAACTAAATAAAAAGTTTAAAATGTATATCTCTCTCTCTAGACCTTATGGCTACAATTACCCGGTTAGATTAGAGATAGATGAATTCTTTAATGAGTCTACTACATTTTGGCTTTGCAAGCTGCATGTGACACAAGCTTCTTCCAAAAAAAGTGGATAAAAGGACATTTCTTGATTTCCACATGGAGACTTGGCCATTACTGAGGCCAAGGGCGCCGGAAGCGGGGGGGGGCCAGGGGGCCATTGGCCCCCCCACTTTACGGCCCTGCCCCACATTTTCGCAGCAGCGGATGCCGCGGAACCCTGTACACATCCCGTTTCAATAATTCCCCTCTACTCTAAAGTCGCATCTAAAAAGAACGCCATCTGATCTAGCTGTGTATATTTTGTTATTGTTGATTGTTATATTCAATCTCATTAGCTACAGGCATTTTTTAAGCTTGTAAAGGGAAGAACACAGCTCGCCTCTCACTCGCCACTCTGCTCTTCTACAGCGCCGCTTCCCCTCCCTCCGCTGACATTATGAATGTAAGGCATAGTAATCATAGATAACACCGCAGGGTCCGTTACAGTTTGTTTTCATCTGATTTCAAATAAACAAAGTCTTGGCTTTCAGAATATTAAACTTGTTTCGGCAAATTCAGATGATAAATACAGCTTTGAAGCTTTTAACGGCATAATTACAAGCGGAGAACGGAGTAATTTGACGTCACAGCAGGCATAACAGCCGGTGTTTCTCCTGAATGTTTTCCCCGGGAAACAAACGCAAAAATACACAAACACACACACGTGGTATACACACACACACTCGCGAGCTCCCCCCAGACCAGTAATCCAAACGAAAATATCTTCCCTCCGTACTACTTTGATCATTTGCTCCGCTAATAATCAATCAGATCGATCCAGAGAAGAGGAAACTTTAAGGCCTTTTTCTCAAAATGATGACTCGGTGACAGTCATTATATAATGTGACATATTTTGCTTAATATAGTACAAAAACAATCCTGATATCATTAGAAAGCTAGGAATCTCCTCTTTCCAACAGTGTATACAACTCAAAATGTGTCTTCGGATCAATGCGACTGATTTCGATGGAGCAGGTCACTTTGCATTAGGTAAAATACAGCAGGCAGACATAACAGGAAGAATATGTACATTTTAATCCAATCAAATAGGACATTGTCACACCATTCAAATGTATCCATGTACATTACAACCAATAACAAAGCTTAGATGTGTTTATTTGTTACGTTGTTTACGTTATGTGTTACGTTGTTCAGTGTGTGTCAGCCGTTAACCTAGATAGATAAACTTGCAAACATGTCAGAAGAACCGGCGCATAAGAAAACAAAATACAGTCAAACTAAGCTGAAATTCAACAACTTGAATGTCACATCCCTGACATCCACAACTCCGGAGCCTGGTCCTTCAACCATAGAACCAGCGCAGCCAGATGAACCCCAGCAGCAGCTCTGCGGCCGCAGAGCCTGTCAAAACCGCTGCCGCCGGCATCGTTGAACCGAAACAGGCTGGTTCCGACTGCATGGAGGTTCGTTGTCGGGACATTGTGACGGGCCAATAAAAGCTTATTTGGGCAAAGAGAAGGTACTTCAATGCAGAATGGTACAAAAACAGAGAGTGGTTAATTATTTGCAAAACCACTAAACGAGCCTTCTGTGAAATATGCAGATGTGATGCTGTCAAACGGCTTGTAACTTTCTCCAAATGTGGAGA